GTGCTGGATACACAAAAGTCATGTACATGCACAAAAGTAAGACAATGAAAAACCGTTTATGTCTCACCATCACTTCACAAGTGACATCATGTCACCAGAAATGGAGTGAAAGCTGTTGGAAAAGAATGTCTCTGCCTCAGAGCAGTAAACATGTCACCGGATAAAAAGGAAACTAAAGCAGAAAAGCCGAGGGAAACGACAGCTAAGTGAGTGGTGGGCTATTTATTTCTGCTGTTGTGAAAGAAAACAACACTTAAAATGTATCAGACTGATGTAAGTATTTTGGTGGACACACCAAACAATGATATCAGTGCAGGACATAAAAAGGCCGTGTACTGTGATGGGACACTGATGAGTCACTTTTTCCCCTCACTGTGAATAAATGTGTCCTGTGTTTTAGTAGCTTCAGAATAAAGCACACAGGAAAAAGTGTAAAAGTACAATTAATGGGAAAAAACCCAAATGTGCTGTTAGCTTAGTTCACACAGAGAGCCTAGCTTAGCTGTAGCTAACTGAACTGTTGTTGACTTAGCAAGTAAGCTAGGTATGCTAACATTACGAACAGATTGTAACGTTACTTACCTCAGAAGTGAGTAGTTCATCTTACAAAGAAAGTCATTTTTTAATACATGGACCAAACACTTGAAACAAATAAATAATGTTTGTACTGTAAAATAACAGATTTTCCAAAACTTCACTGTGTTGATTTAAAAATGTTATGCTTGACATTATTGTTGTTATTGGGTTATTGACATTATTGGGTACAGCTCCCCCTGCAGGACCCAGTGTGATTTGAAGTACGATTAAAGTATTGACTTTTTTCTGGTCCACTTTTCCAATATTTCTGTGTTGCCGCTCACGTGGAACTGACTTAGACTTAGACTTAGAGACGTATAGTACACAGTAATCCTCATTAACTTCACTTATGCAGTTAGTTTTGCTCATTGCAGATATTAAAATAGATTTGTGTCTTTGGTTAATTTTATTTATCATACATAAATAAATCAGAGATTTTTAAACTATTTTTTCTGAAACCTCTAATGACAACTGGCCTTTTTAAAAAAATCTCCCATCAGTCATTGTCTCCCAGTAGTAGCTGTTGATCAGTGTAGTTCCACACAGTCTGTGGATATTTTCACACCTGTCACTCAAAGCTGTTGCATTTGCAAGTTTTAGGAAATTTTAGGAAACCTTCCAGTCTGCATTTTTTAAGTCTCTGCGACCATGTGTTTGGGAGCGAGGAAAAAAAAGGGAGAGAGAGAAGGAGAGAGAGAGAGAGAGGGAGAAGGAGAGAGATGGAGGGAGCGTTCATGTGAATTTTTGTAAGCTCTGGTGAAAAGACAAATTTGGAAACACCAGATCAGGAAGGGAAGGAGCATTTCAGCTTTAAAGCTACAGAGCCGTAACCTCAGTGTGCACAGAAATGAACGAGAAGAACAGAACTCCCTGGTCTGACTGACTGTTCTGTCTGACTTCGCTCCGTTCTGTCTTCATCTCTCAGAGGAATCCGAGCTATTACCACCAAACCGGAGCGGAAAGTGCACGTAGCAGTTTGCCAGTTTCTGTTTGCCAGTAACAACAGTATCAGTGCACAAATGATGTTTCTGCTGCAGGTACTTCATTCAGTGGCTAATTGTAATGCCACTGAGTTTACATTAATGGCTGAATAGAAGCAGGAGGGAAGGAAACCGGCACCCTCTCTGTTCCTGCTCCGTTTGATTACGCTTCTGTGCCAGTAACGTTTTCTCTGGCTGCACTGCATGTTAGTCATCCACTTTAAAAACTACTCAAAGCAGTTTGCGGGCCACATAGGCAGTCACCTAGGGCGCCATCTGCTGGAGGGTGAGCTGCAAACCCTCAAAAAATAAAAACAATTACAATGGTACAGAAAGGAGGCGCCAAACCATAATCTCATCCACGGCACTAAAATGGCTGACTGTGATCACAGTTTGGCCATTCACACATCACCAAACATTAACCAATAGAATCATTTGAGGATCAGTTATATCTCAACAACACTTTTCTCCTACTTTTCAGTTTTCCCTGTTTGGTTCTCGCTCCACTGCCAGGACCACCACTCTCTCTTCGTCGCCCTCCTCTTCTACTGAACTAATTCCTTCAGTAGCTACACTGAAAAGGTTGGACCGTTCCCCCGGCGGTGGCTCCTCAGGTCTAAGCAAAGCTGAATTTTTGGAGCGGGTACGTCGCAGCAACCAGGCCTGCCAGCAGGGGGAGTATGCGCTGGCCGTGCATCTGTACAGTGAGGCGCTGACAGCCGACCCCCAAAACTGCATCCTGTACAGCAATCGCTCAGCGGCGTATCTCAGACTGGGTCAGTACAGCACGGCGCTGGACGATGCCATCAAGGCACGACTCATCAATCCAAAGTGGCCAAAGGTAAGAAGAACCGAGATCGCAGTGTTCACCTAGGGGTTAAAAGTGGAATTAAGTAAGTGTTGGGATGGAAGTGTGGATGGTTGGGTTAGTAATGCTTTAACCTAACCTGGCGTTTACTTGTGTGTTTGAATCAACTCAGTTTCCACTGTCGTCGTAGTCTCTCAGTGATAGAAACGTAGCTGAGGTTGTTGAAAGGAGCAGGCGGGGGCAGATTATTTTGACTCACGGGTCAGAATTGTCTTAAAATTGAACAGGAGGGCAGGGTCAGGAGCAGATAGATGGAGCGTTCATGTGAATTAAGATAAATGACCTGTAAAAGTCATGCATAAAGGCTAAAATGCTTTTATCGTTTTCTACACCATCTATTGGGGAAACGTGGGTACTGCAGGAAAAAGGCAGAAGTATAATGATAATATAAATAAATTATATAATTTGGAACATTTTGGAAGCCCCTATTAAAAAGCTGAATGGGCTGCATCCGGCCCCCGGGCCTTAGTTTGCCCATGGCTGCCTTAGAGAGAAGTTAGTATTGGATGGAACTTGATATGAATTGAGGAAAACAAATGCGATACGATGTGATCTGATATAAACTTTTTTTAACTTTTTAATAGTCTGGCAGAAGGACAGCTAGGTTGCAGAGGTAATCATTTGGTGCTACAGTGGTGCAGTAGTAGACGTAGCAGCTGCCGTCCATTAGGTAACATGTGGTCGCTAATCTGAGGTCAGGCTACAGGGCATTTCACTGATAAAACTCTTCCGAGCCCCGATTATGGGACAAACTGGAAATATTTCTTTGTTCTATCAATAAAGAATAAAGAAAATTGGAATAAAATTACTATTTGAATTTTTTATATATTCTCATAGATAACCAACACACATAAACCGAACACATTGAACAGTTGTGTAAATATCTGGTTCAGTTCTCTCCGACACAGAGAGGAAGGCTTCGGCCCATGTTTTTTTTTTTTTTACCACACTTTGGAGAACAACAAGTGGCTGCTAACTGCGTCGGGCCATTTTTACACCTGAAGGAAGTGGACCACTAACATCTACCACCACAGTGAGCTCTCACCACACTCAGCTTCCCTCACGGTCAAAGTCTTTTAAAGCTATTCACAGAGGGAAGTGGGCAGGCCTGACACTGGGCCGTGCCAGGCTGCCTGTGTCTGGACGGCTGGGGCCCGGCCAGCTCCACTCCACTTCCTTTCTCTGTGTGAGAGAATGGACGGAAGTGGTGTTTGGGTGTGTGTGTGTGTCAGCGTGTGTTTGTGTGTGACAGATAGAGAGAGAGAGAGAGAGAGAGAGCTTTGCACGGCTGTTATTTTGTTTTCTAAAACTTGGCCTGGGCTCTGGCCCGAGTTTGGCACTTGGAGACAATAACAGAAGCAGCATTCCTCGTGTGTCTGTGTCTTTGAAGCCCTTACAGCGGTGGTGTCACAGCGTTGCTGCAGTGTTGCCGTGGGTCAAAGTCCAGGTCAAGACTAATGAAGTACCAATAGGAGCGAGCCTCACTGACATCAGGACGTTTACTTCTGCCTCAGCTCTCTCTTTGGGCCCTGCTCGCAGCCGTCTTCGCTCTCTCTTTGCCTCCCTTTTCTGTTTTATCTTATTTGGCTCCACATTCGCCCCCGCTGTTGCCCCCGTCACCTTCTCTGTTTCTCTTGATTGTATCGCACACACAAACATTCAAATAACGCAGCCCACTCATGGGAACAGAGAGGTGGAACTGGTCAGGAGTCACAGGTGTCTGTAGGTGGAGCTGAACTGCAACACGTCTTTGAATTCTAATATTTTTGTCTTGTTGTTTGGAGCAGCTTTAACGTCTTGTCTCTGCATTGGAGGCAGGGAATTTAGAAAGGCTTTTGTGTCATTGTGATTCAAATGAAGTCACAATCCGCTACAGAAGCTAACGCCGTTTGTCCACAGTCACTGTGGAGTGTTGATCCTGACAGACTGAACTGTTTTGTGTTTGAATGTTTGTTGTCCGTGCACTGCCTCTCTGTTGATGTCAAATTGTGGGGTCTCTTTTTAAAAAGGCCTTTTAGCCAAACTGTGGTGAATCGATTCAGACTTTCAGCTCTATTGCACTCTGGGAAATGTCTGCAGCTCCACAGGAGCTGCTCTCACCCACTGATGAAGACGTCTCTTTGGCCTTTTCATCTGCGGAGACAGTTAGGGACCAATTTGTAGTTGTCAGCCGCAGAGTGCAATGTTGAACCTAACGCCAAACGGGCGTTCTGCCCAGTTAATCACAGCCTCACTGTAATATTTATCAGTGCTGTAGGACATCATGTAGCAACAACAAAGCACAGTATGATGTTATGGTTGCTCTTTTTTTTTGCTCCTTTAAACAGGTTCATTCCTGTTCTTTCTGTATTTCTGTATTCTGGTTTTAGTGAATGATATTTGCATCAAAGTGGACGGAAGTGAATTATTATTTGAGATGTGACCTCTGCGTTTTACCCATCACTGAAGTGAACAGGGAGCCGTGGTACACCAGTGTGCCAGCAGAGGTCATCAGGTGGACCGAGGAAAATGATTCCATTTCACTGAATGGGTATGAAAACGATTATTTAATTACTAAATACTAATTATTACGATGGCTATAAAGACTAAAAAAAAGATATTTTTGTGTCTTTCTTTAATTACTGCCAGTATATCAGTGGAGTGTTCCTCTAAATAGGCTCAGGTTTTTACAATGAGGGAAAAAACAGTGAGTAAATTTAAATTAAAGATCATTTTACTTCATTACATATCTTTTTTGGGAGATTTTTATTTTTTGGTGTGCTGGTGGAGTTTCTGTTGTAAAACATGTACAATGGCTAAAAAAGATCGGGAAACAGTGTATTAGTGTGAAGGTCAGGTCACTGTTACCTCACAGGACCACAGATGGAGACAAAAACACATTTATTGTCAGTGTAAAATCTAAGGGTAACATCATTTAAATGTCTGACTCTGAGAGGATTCCACAGAAATCTGAAAACAGGCGAACTCTATTGACACGCCATTGTAAGAGCTGCGAAGCAAATTTGTGCCAATCACGCTGGGAGGCCGCAGCGCTCACCACTTGTCATCGTGCCGTCGAGAAAGCTTCTAATAAAACAAATTTATTGACCGTAATAAAGCAGGAAAACAGGAACGCAGCCTTTGTTTGGACGACGATGAAAATGCCAACAGTTTTTCATATGCCAGTGCCACAAAAACTAAACTCAACAAGTCGAAGTCGAGACAGAAATCTCTGAGGTACATATGTCAAAATCAAACAGTTAAGTGTGAAAATATGGTGCTTTTTGGAAGATGGGTGAACTAAGCCTTTAATCCTGTGGCTGTTAGTTGGATGTTACCATGTGAGGCTACTCCTAAATATTATGCTGTGGGATCTGTAGCTGGAATCAGTGCAGATCATCTATGAAGGCTCTGAAGTGGAAGCCAACCAGATGGCAGCCAGCTACGCCTGTTTACGCAGAAGCTCTGTGGAGCTGGCCCCACACTGCTCAGGCTCCCCTGTCATTAACAAGCTACTCTCTGACCACACGCTGCAAAAATATTACCCACGTACGTGCAGCCCAAGCGTGCATGGTCTTTAAGCAGGACTGTGGGCCTAAAATGGTCTGTTTAGGATGGTTCCCCACATGACAGGGTTTATATTATAATGTGATCTAACCAAGGGAAGAGATCGAGTTTCCTCATGTACGGGTTCCTCCCAGGGTCAGATTTAAGATCCCGTGACTTGTTGCACAGACTTTGTTGACGTGATAACACATTTTCTGTTGCACTTGTAGTAGTAAGAACTCAGTCTGGATCAATAGAGTGAACTACGTCATAATATCGAGCGATGGTTCTCAAACGTTGGTGCATGTACCGGTGGTTGTATTATACTGGATATAAATAATATTAAGACTCAAAACCTGCATCTGAAACTGTTAAAAAAAAATTAAATCCTGATAAATATTAATAAAGATGGGAGTGAGCTAAAGTGAAGCTGCTAACCAGAGCAGCAGTGTGTGTGTGTGTGTGTGTGTGTGTGTGTGTGTGTTGTTTCAGAGGTGACCTGGTCGTGTCTGCTGCAGTGCTACCTTATCGTGCAGAGTTATTTTCTTTATTTACTTCCTCTGCTCCACAATGCTCAGTGTTTTTATAAAGACCTCTCTAGTCTCTAAGACCACTTCAAACTAGACGTTTTGCCAGTCACCCACCACAGTTTTATTACATGTCTGTATTAGTCATTACATACGTGTTGCCATAGCAACACAGGGACACATTAGCATCTGGAAAAGCTGGATGTTGAATATCGAAACCTTAACCACGAGGCTTTGATAGAACAGTTTACTAAAATAATAGGCCTGCACTCACACCAGCTGCAGGTGACACTAGTCACCTCTGCTGGTCATTAATAAGTAGCTTTGGCTTTTGGTTGGATGGACAGCGGCAGAGAGGAAGAAGTGACGCACTGACTGAACACTACTGTCATACTTGACCAGTTTTTGACAGTTTTTCAAACGTTGTGACTCCTGCCCACAGCTCTTCCTCAGGCTACGCTTCTCACTGTCTTCTCCCACACGTCAAGTATTTCTTATATATATACTCTTTATATTTTTATTTTATTTTATTTTTTTCAAAATATTTTGTATATGTAGAATTTCAAAGCATAAAATATGAAAGTTGATAAAGAGCAAAAGCAAAACATAAGGAAAAATAAATATGTAAGATATGTTTTCAAATTCAGTCATATCAACTAAAACAATCAAAATGTAATACCTCTTTAATTCTACTCTAAGTATCATCGTAAAAACCCACATGACGTTAGTAAATCTGAGGATCTACTGTCTTTGTGGATCATAATCAGTAATATCAATAATCAATCAACTAATTAAATAAACATAATGTTAATTTTGACTTCAATATTACCTCCAGCCTGACAACATCTGCTGACACGAATTAAATTAAAAATAAATTTAAAAAATCAATAAAATGATACGTTTTAACTCCAGTCTTATCCT